TAGTAGAACAAGGGGAGAAAGGGCGAACAAGGGCAGGAAAGGAAGAAAGGGCGGGAGTATGGCGTTGGCGGAATGAAATAAAGGTTCTCTCGACACATACACAGACACGAGCGTGCCTTTTTTCTTTTTCCCCAACTCTCCCTTAGGTACCTCTTGATCGTGCAAACGCGGGAAGCAACAAACCGGATTCGCAATAAAACGAATCCCATCTCGAAATGCGCGCGAGACCACCTTCGGAGGATCTAAACCTACACACATTTAAATTGGATCTCTTTCTCTCTCTTGCTCTCATCGTTCTGGCTATCTCTTAACCGTGGCTCCTCTCCTTTTTTGCCTTTCGCGCGACCTCCCTTTCTCCGAGAGATTCACTCGCCCTGTCTCTCTCGCTCTTTGGCTCGAGTGAAAGGGACGCGGAAAGAAGGGATGACTGAACCCGCGTCGTGTACTGTGAGAAAGGTGCAAGTACAATCGTTGTCGACCAATTCGTTCGGACAGTTAGAAAGGATTGGAGAAGAAAGGAAGAGGGGGAGAGAGAGAGAGAGAGTAAAAAAAGATTAATAAAAAGGGCTCGCGATATAAAAAGAAGGGAGTAGAATTGAAAGTGGAGTATCGAAAGAAAGGGTGAAATTATCTCACGAGAAAATGATCAAGGTTCTATTTTCAAATATTGTCATTAATTTCTCTCTCTTTCTTTCGACGCATTCAATATTTTATTTGCGGAAACGAGGAAAGGATTTAGATATTCATATTTTTCGCGATAACAGTGATAACAGGGTTCTTCCATTCTATTTAGACTGAATTTTGTAAAAATAAAGTGAAATATAAGACTGTATCTAATTATAATCATGCATGAGTCAATGAATTAAGAGTGCTTGTTGTATTTTAAACTGTGATAAGATGTCTGGAAACACTGAAAATTTTGAAACATTCGACTCAATTATAATAATATTGAACGATTTCAAAAATTGCGATATTTTTATATATTATCAGATAAATTGTATTTTATAATTTAATTAGAATTTCTAATAATAAAAAAATTATTAACACACACATACAAATTTTTAAATACTAGTTTGTGATCGTTTAACTTTTTATTTTAATTAAAAATATTTTAAAAATAACTTGAGATAAATGACACAATAGATGGAAACAGATCGAACGAAAATTTGAGAAAGCGAATTATCGTAAAATCGTGTCGTTTCGAAAAGCCTCAGAATCTCGAAAGCGTAAACATACCACGGAGGAAGAGCAAAGTGTTTAATTGCATATGTGCCGAGGCATCGAGAGAAGGAGGACCTTGCACGATTCTCTATCTCTTTTTCTCTCTCTCTCTCCTTCTTTCTCCTCTTTTTCGCGCGTATGATAAACAGCAGGCACACATCCCTACAGCGATTACGCAACGTCTACGCTTGGCCTTCTCTCGCGTACCGATTGTAAATTAGACCGCATCATAAATAAATAAATAGCGCGCAAACGGCATCACCGATAAATCGTCCGGATAAATCGACGGATTCGCGACTGTCGGAGAGAAGCGTGATAATTATATCGCGCAATTAATACATTGCGGTGATAGCACGGTGTACAAATATTTGTGCGTGTGTACTATATATGCAAACGTGAGAAACGTTTCTTCCTGAAATAATGCACCTTATTCACTCTTGCTCTCGACTTTAGATTCGATGTATTAATTCATCGATAATATATCATTTCGCGCTAGCGATATTTATTTTTCTACTTTTTTTGCTTTATTGCGAATGTGCACGGTTTTATTTTATTCGAGGCGAAACAGATACAAAAACATCGATTAATCGTCTTCGATATCGGGCGCGCTAATCTTCAGGAATCTGAATATATACGAGGAATATTATCCGTTCATAAGTCTATATTTGCCCACAAAAGGTCACGGATTTCTCATCGATTAACGATTAAATGATCGGTCGAGCAGTTGACATTTTTCACGGTTACGCGAAAAGGGTAAATTCACTGGGTTAGCGAATATTTATTATTCGAGTCACTTTGAAGGTAATCAACAACAACCGAATTAATTGGTAATGAAATATTTCATATTTAAAAAAAGACACAATTATACAATCGAATTATCGTTATTCGGTACGCTTTGAGCTTCCAATATACGTAAATCCAATTGTGTACAGATCTTTTAGGCGATGAAACGCATTATTTTTATTAAAATAATCACACTAATATATTCTCACATTTTCATTAAGTAATTTAAATTCGTATTTTATATGAATTGACAGAAATTTACATAAGTCTAAAAAATTATGTAAGAAGTTACGATTATACAACGTAATGTCAGATACCCCGAGTGTTTATTAAGTTATTTATTAGGAATAGGTTTTTTGACGATCCATCATAACGATAAGATGCGGTTACTTTCTTTCAAAAGTTATTTTAAATGTTTTTAAAAAATTCCGATAATCATATTGTTTAATAATCATGACAACAGTGTCAACTAACTGCGCTTTTATCAAGAAATTTTTCACTTGAAAAGGACCAAAAACAGATGGTCGAAACGTTGTGGAAATAAAATAAAAATTTCTTGGCTAGTTTGGCTCGAATTTAATATATCGTTCCTATTTTAAATACCACTAGCGACGTTTTAAGTATTCAATTTGATTTTATTTATTAGGTATACAACTGGCTAAGAATTTGAACAAAAGAATTAAAAAAAAAAAAAAAAAAAAAATTGTGATTTGCATGCTCGTTTTATCAGCTGTTCTCGGCTATTTACAGATAAGAACGCGAAAAGGAGGAAGAGCACGGTGCGAAGGCGCCGCATCAGCTGTTCCACGACCTCCTTTCTACGTGGCCCTCGAACGAAATTTGTCTGATTCGCGCTAAGTATAGCCGTTGCTCGCGTTGCTGCAATCATTTATATACCTATATTACGGATTCGCCGATGACGAGCCGTCGATAACGGCGGAAAAAGTGGAGCTGCTCATTAAGTCGCGAATTACAAAGCGCGACATATGCAAATTGTCAATTAAATAATGGAATCCAACGTTTATACGTATGTATATATATTTAACGAATGGCACGCGTGTATATATATATATATATATATGTGTGTATTTCAGTCGACTTGCATAACAGATTTTTTCAGCTGACCCCGTCGCGATTCTCGTTTCAAAAGACCGAAGACAATCGCGGCTTTCATGACGGTTTTGTTACATAAAATAACGACAATGAAGTAGTACATTTATCAAGGCACGTGTGCGTGTCATCCTTCCGTCTCATCCTCCGACGTTCGCGATTTCTTCGCGTAATCGCGTTCTCATATCCGACGATTGATAATTAATAATCCTCCGTAATGCGTGCTTTAACTCTTTTATATACGCGTACGTTTGTCGGAGCCTGGTGTCGTAAGCTAGAATTGAAACCGATATAAAATATCGCTGACTTTATTTCTCTCGTCGATGTTGATAAACGCGCAGATTGTGCCCGCAGCATCGAAATCTCTTTCGGGTTTACCGAAATTATACCGGTTTCGAGGCCTTACTCTACGTTTGATTGCAAAGTACGTGTTTGCCGATCGAAAACTCCACGTTTCCTGACCAACAGAGTAACGGACATTAAACCGATCGTGTTTACCGTCGAATCGTTCAAGCATTTCGCGATCGATCGCTCGTAAAACGCCGTCGCAATCGGAGATCAACATGTATATATCGATATAATTCTTGATGAGATCTTTACGAGACGCCTCTGCATTTTTTGAAAAAGCGTGCAAATAAGAAAGGAACAAAAAGAGAAAGGAAGAATGAACGGAAATGTTGTACGGAGTTATAGGAGAAAGGCGAGAAAATTGAAAGATCAGAGTGATATAAAGTGATCGATCTATTGTTTCGTGATCAGGCGCCGATTAATTCTCGCGATGCGCGCAAAAGATGCAAGGAGAATGCAAATTATAAGAGACGAGAAATAAATGTAGAAAAAAAGAGTTCAATTCTCATACAATTTCTTACAGAAATATATACACTTTTGCCTTCAAATCTCACACATCCAAATTATCAAGCATTTCTGCATTTGATGTATAATATCGAAAGATGTCAACCTTAGACAAACAGTAAGAAAAAAAATTTAATTTCTGTAATTTAGTAGCTTTCATAATTTGATGATTAATTGAACAAAATTATTTTCTATTCAAGAAAAGCGGATGATTAATATAAAGGTAACATGCGATTAGAAGAGATACGTCCAACAATATATATTGGAAATTGATGTAAAAAGGAAAAAAATAGATCGATGAGGCGGCATTGAAGAAAGGACTGCTTAAAGTATTATTATAATAGAAGACTAAAAATGGTAAAGAAAAGGGACGTATGGTCACAGGACGTAGGAGTGGCTAATGTTCACCAATGCTGAGTTAGAAGGAAAAAAAGTGGTATAGAAATAGGAAAAGGTGGATGGAAGGCGGGGTAAAATATTGTATCGATACAGTATGGAATCCACGCCAGAGAAATGATCTGTAAAAGAAGAAAAAATGAAAAAAAAGCAAGGATGCAAACGGAAGGGATAAAAAGGCGGAGCGAAACACCGTAAAATGGAAAATGAAATAAGAAACTTGCGGAAGAGAGAACAAATGAAATATAGCGCAAGGAATGCAGGAAGTTCCGAAGGACCCAAAAGGGATCTCGAAGGTCATACTTGCAATCTTCTCTGTCTCTCGCTTTTTCTTTCTCTCTATTATCTTCTTTCTCTTTAGACTCTCTTTATTCTTATATATCGCGCGCACGAGCTCTTATATTACGAGCAGTGTCTATTTCGATGTGTCTGAATAACGAAGACAGAAACACAGCACATAGACTTATTATAGTCTAGTGTACGTATATTTCGCGTACGCTAGAGAGATATCAATTGAGAGAATGATAAAGAGATGGAAAAGAAGAGGACCCGAGGTTGTGTGAAAGCAAGAGGGAGTCAGAAAGGGCGCGAGAAAGAGAAAAAGGGGGAGGAAGAAAGACGGAGGCAGGAAGATAGCAATGCAGAATCATACTCCAATAAAATGGACAGAGACCAGAGATGTTCTTATCGTGATGTACACGCCTGTGCATGTATATTCTGACAGCGCACGTAAGCCATCACACGCGTACACGCACACATATGCAATTGCTCGTATATTACAAAAATATGTATATACAAATATATATATATATATAGAAAGAGAAAGAGAGAAAGAGAGAGAGGGAGAGAGAAGAAAGAAAGAGAGAAAAAGAGAGAGCGACACCTCACCAATAAGACCTAGGCAAGAGAGCTATTTGTAATGCAATAGTGAGAGCACCAGTGGGGAAAGGAAGAGTGGAGGAAGGTGGTGGTAGGTGGTGGAGGTGCTTATAGTGGGGGAGAAAGAGCGAGAAAGGAAGAACGGGAGATAGATGGATGCAGGGAGAGAGATAGCAAAACTGGGCAAAAGAGAGAGAGAGCGAAAGGGGAAGAGTAGCTCTCGACGAAGAACCAATACTACGATCCCTTTATAAACGGACTCACGGACTCGGGTTAAGATCTCCTCCTCATTGGACGTGGAATATATATCGTTGTGAGTTCTCGATGGAGAAAGACGCGCTTTACGGACCCTCAACCCTTTCTGAATTCGCTTGTAAACCCAAGGGGCCCACCTGGCCTCCTCACTACCACTACCGAGTCTCTACACTGCCGCTACAACTACTACTGTCACCGGTGCCGCCACCACCATTACGGGCTACGTCGCTACACTCATTGGACACGTTACAGTATCGCTGATGTGCCACCACTACCAAGGTGCCGAGAGCCCACCACCATCGCCGCCACCTCCTGCCACCATCCGACTCGTACCTCTCTTCGCGCTTACCTAGGACCAGACAGAGAAAGAGGGAGCGCGAGCGAGAGGGAGCGTGAGAGCGGGGGAGAGAAAGAGAAAGAAAGAGAGAGAAAAGGAGATTGAGAGAAAGAGAGAGGTAGAGAAAGAGTGAGAGAGGGTCGTGGCTTTGCGCAAAAGTTACGACGGCGCGAAGAGCAGTGAGAGACACACCGCGGAGACCGGAAGAGAACCCTCTCTTTCTGAAGAAGTCTTCCGACAAGAGGAGCGAAAGAGAGAGAAAGAGAGAGAGAAAGAGAGAGAGAGAAAGAAAGAGAGAGAACGAGAGAGAAAGAGAGAGAGAAACAGAAAAAGCAAAAAGAGGCAAGTCGAAGAGAAGGACGAAGAGAAAAACAGAAAGAGAGAAAGAGAGAGAGAGAGAGAGAGCGAAAAGAGAAAGAGAGAAAAAGAATGACAGTAAATATACTCGCAGAAAACATACGTCAGTCCTAATCGAGCGTGTCACCGTCTGTGCAAGTGCGGAAGTGCTTTACGGACTATCGCGAATAAAACTGACAACAACAAGCATCCTCACGCGCTGGCTGCCGCGTGAAGACACGTGCTGCGCGATTCAAGTGTCATCTCTTCGAATATCCCGCGGGATCAGCATCGATCGGATTTTCAATTGGACCAGGTCACCTGGGACGAACTTTCGTGAACCCTTTTCGGACAGTGTCTTTTATCGTGCTGTCATTCTCGACTCATCATCATTTTTGAGAGTGACATATTTAAATATACCCCTCGTTCGACACGTGTTCGCTCGCACACGTGTCTTCGTCGGTGCATGTGCATCTCGATCTTGGATACATCCAAGAGGGAAGAAAGACCCCGAGAAAGGTGCTTGAAAGCCTTTTGACAGCTCCAGCTTGTGTCAAAACTTGGACCCTGTCTTTCGAAAGTTCGCTCTGGTCTCGATGGTCGACGCTTGTCAGCCGAGAAGAGGTACAAGGAAGTGAAAGAGCAGTCAGCGCGAAGAGGGAGAAGAGGAAGGGAGACCAAGAAGAGAAACCGGAGGAAGAGAGGAAGCAGAAGAAGCCTCGAGAAACAAGCGGAGACCAGGACTTCGCCGCGCGTTCGCCGCTTACGTATCAGCAAGAGCGGGCCGTTGTGTAAGAGCTGAAAGTAAAAGTTGAAACCGCCGTGACTCGGGCTCGCGGGAGCGCGTGCTGCGCGCGCTAAAATCCGATCCTGCCTCCCGTGGAGTGCACAGCCAAATATCTCTCTCGCCTCTCTCTTCCCGCCCGTCTTTCTCCGGCCTGACTTTTGCGCGTGTGATCTCTTTCTCCAGGAAGATAACCAAAAACCAAGTGACCGTAATAAGTGGAAGGTGTACGTGTGTTCGCGCGTCCGAATTATTCGCGTAATCGCGGACGCCTCCTCGACGCCCTTGACGAGGAACTCGCCGGGGAGGATCTATCCGTGGAAGCCGAAGAGGGCGTGCTAGGGAAAGAACACAAGGAGAAGAGAGAGAGAAGAGGGACGGCGCTCTCCGTTCATTGCGTAACGACGTTTTCTAGTCCGCTGCTTCGCGAAATACGTTCGCGCGGTATTTCGCTCGCGCGCTCGCTCGCTCGCGGAGGAGGTGTATCTTGCGAGCGTGGTTAGACGTGGTGGTTTGATTCCCGTCGTCGTCGTCGTGCTCGTGGTGGTCGAAAAAACGCGAGCTGCACAGGTGGTAGCAGCGCTTAGAACGTGCGATGGAAAGTAATCGCGCGTTTCACTCTACCCAGCGCGAATCGCGAGTGTTCAAGGTCACCATCGCGGGTATATCCCACCGGTAATCCCTCCATTTCCGGAGTTGCTAGAGAGTGATCTTTATCATCATTCTCATCATCATCATCATCATCACCATCATCATCATCATCATCATCATCATCATCATCATCATCGTCATTGTCATCATCAACTGGGTAGCACCACCGCGGTATTCGCGTGCGAATTTAACCTGTCTCTCTCTCTCTTTCTCTCTCGGTTCGCGATCGGCGGCGCGCTCGCTTTTACCTCGCCGCCTCGTCCGGGCGCAAGAAGTTTCGCAAAAGGGATTACAACACGCAGAAGAGAAAGGAGACAAACAGACGGAAAGGGAGACGCGGAAGGGAAAAGGACAGCGAAGAAAGAGAGAGACACACCAAGACGGAGAGGGAGACAAGGAGGAGGAAGAAGAGGAGAAGGAGAGAGAGAGAGAGAGGAACATACCGCGATACGACACCCTGGTGTGCGGGAAAACCGCAGGGGAAGGACACGGAACGATCTCTCTCTCCCGCGGAAGACGGGAATCCTAGCGAGCGTCGCGCGTGGTGTACGAGGACGAGAAAGGTCGGAGGAAGAGTCGGAGAGCTCTTGCGCTCTCTCGGAACAAGGAGAAAGAGGCGGAGAGGGCAGACGGATTGTGTAGGACGGGTCTGAAAGACGATCCGGATGTGGCGAGAGCCACTCGCTTTCCGCTCTACCGCTCTCCCGTCGATCGTTACCGACATTGAATTCGCGAACGAGTAGTCCCGTCGTCGACGGTATCGTTGGCACGCGAGAAATTTCGTCAAAACCGCGAGATCAAAGTTGGAGTATATCAAGAGTATTATTACTGGAAGGAGACACGCACACACACATATATATATATATATACGCGGCCGAGCGGAATTAAAAGCGCGTTTAAAAAGGTTAGCGGAATAAAAAAGGCGCGCGCGCGAAAGGATAAGAGAAAGGAATAGGAGCCACCTCCGAGTCCTTGAGAGTACCCAACGGGTAAAAGTGCCGCGCGCAGAGAGCCAGCCGGTTGACCCTGGACAGTCAACGGAGCAGACTTCGCGAAAAAAGTTCTTCGTATATGTCGTCGTCGTCGTCGTCGCTCTTCATCGTCGGCGAATCTGCTCGCTGTGCGCATAGGATTTAGGTGGATATTCCCATCGATCGGAGATACGAGATCGGTAACCCGTTCTTTACGTACGTCTAGTGTGCGAGAGGCGAAACCACGTGTGTGAGTTAACATCGTGCGAAAGAGCAGCCGGACGGAACGCGATGACAAGGAGGATCGGGAGAAACAGCTGACCGTGAAAGGATACAACCGTTGAAAATCGTGTCTAACTAGGGATCCTTTTCATTCTCGATCTCCAAGAACGCGTCTTCGCGCAAAGTGTAAAGTGCGAGATTACGTAGTAAAAGTGTCGGCTGGCTGATTTTTCTCTCAACAATCTCCCGAGTATATTTGGAGTACCTTGCGCGAGTTTGAGTTCTCTTTTTCTCGACGTCTCACAGCTGCCGATCAGTTAGTTTCTCTCGTGTTTCTCTCACAGTGGGTGTGATACATGCCGTGGAATATCAATGTACGTCACGTGTCCACAACGTCGTTTACGTTGCCGCTGTCACGGGATCTCGGCTCGTCGTCGCCGGCTCGAAAGGAGGATGCCTCCGCCTGATTCGACCAGATAGTCCCGAGGGATATATATATATATATATATATCAATAACGCGACGCGTTACTCACCCTGGATACCATCGCACGTCGCGTAGCAGCAGAAAAAGCGCAAGGTGAGAGAATCGCGATTATTCGACCGCGATGACACAATAATTAACATTCCTTTTCAGTTGACGCGCGTTAATTATTCAATCGCCCCGATAGATTCTCGACTCTAACGTCTGGGTTGCAAAAGACGATTGAGAAATTAGCACATGTTTTGCTGTCACATGTATATATATCACCGCGGTTTGTTTCTCACGCCAGTGATATGTTTTACGCTTGTATCAGCAGCCAAACTTAACGTAAACAATCGGCAGGTGCTGCAAACGTGTATCTTATATATTGTATCGACTAGTGTAGGATAAACTGTATGTTACAAATTTGTTTCTCACGCTGGTCATGTACCGCCGGCGATATATACGTGACAATTTCGCGTTAAGGTGTCTTCAAACGCAACATGCTGCAGCAGCAAATCAGTCACGTGATTCAAATTCATTGGAGCATATTTCTCTTATTATTTCAAATTACGACTTTTATGTTCTCATAATAATCTATTTTATTCTTTAAAAACTCCATTATTTAACTAATACAATAATAATAATAATTATTGGAATCAACTAGTTGTGAGTTCTTCTGCTTTGCTGCCTTTGCTGTTTGTTCAATTGAACTTCGCCAATAGCAACAAACTGCTGCACATGAAATGGTATCTTTTCGGAGTCGGAGAAACGATCAATGTTCGAATACGTGAATGGATGAGATTTAGGGACACAAATTGAAGTTGCGCGATTGGAACAACTCTGATGATTCCATTATCGCGCCGGTGCCTAATATATTTTTCATATTACGTTACAAGAGATGGATCGAATAGAGTGAAGGAGAGTAATTAAGGATAAATTGCGCCGCGACCTCTCGGGTTAAATGCTCTTGACTCGATCGTTCCTTCTCTCTCTCTCTCTCTCTCTCTCTCTCTCTCTCTCTCTCTCTCTCTCTCTCTGTGTTGCTGGCATTCGATATTTCGATAGTAGGTGAGTTCGCGCTGTTAGCTCAAGCCGGGGTTAAGGATGATCGATGATGTAATGTTGACACGAGAGTTGGAAAATGTTTGCGGCCACTTTTGCGGATGTGATAGGATAAAGTGAAAAAAATACATAGGTATATATCGATCCATCGGCGATATACGACGATAAGCGACGACTCCTTTGACACGATTTTCGTTTTCACCGTTATATGCGGATTTCCGTTCCGCGTTCTTATCGTCGGTGACTTATTATCGTATACATATTAGCCTTTATATCCGCAAAATGGTAAAAGCTAATAATGAGCTGCAATTGTTCCCCACGACGACGGTAAACTGAAAACATTCCGATTCGCGATCGGATGCAGGAGAGTGTAAATTAATGCGGCGACGTAATTGATAGTAAAAACGCGAGAGGCCTAGAATATCGCGCCGCGAGGGACAGATAGATGGATTGCGGCCAACCGCGTTGACAATGGGAAATATAATCGGTTAGACGTGTATACGCCACGGAACGCACCGAGTGACATAGTTATTGCTTCTTTTAAAAAAAGCAAAGAAAAAAACTGTTTTTCCCGCCATCTGTGAAAGCTCTCCGTTGAGCAATTTCCGCTTAGACGATAATTAGCTTCGCTAAGCCAACGAAGTGCGAATCTTCGTTGCCTGTCGCGCGGATATTTATTTCGTCGCATAATTCTAATATTTTGCGAGAAAGGAAACGAAATATTGTCCGACGAATACGTAAGTATAATGTGTATACGATCGTAGAGAAGGCTGTTTTTTTCTTTCGCTCGCATAACTCGATGCGTTTTTACGAGCAGAGAAAAAGATGCGTATTATTTAATATTAGTACACAGGTTTAAAAAAAGAATTGATTACGATGCCAAAAGATGCTAATAATAAACTGCCGATATTTGCACCGAATGCATTCTCCGCGAATAAACGTGTTATATTAATCTCGTTTTTATCTATTTCCATAGATTTGTAGAAATTTTGAAGGCATCTGGCGATATGCCGGCTAATTTATTTAAAGTTGTGCCTTGGAAAACAGGAAAGCAAGAAAAACAGGAAACGCGAGTAAAACCGGTGAATACAGCGCGCAGCTACAAACTCTCTTTCTCGCTCGCGAGAGAAGGAAGATAGGAAAACTTCTTTCCGAGCATAATAATTCAAGTTCACAGCGGTGGCACCATGGTCGCGAATTATTATGGACGAGCGTTGTGTAACCGTCTTTGAAGAAAAAAAAAGGAAAAAAAGAAAAAAGAAACGACGGAGCCGCTCCTCGCGCGAGACCAATGTGGTCATCAATAGCGCAGAATGACGAATCGCAGAGAAAAAGCGATCTCTAGTCAAGGTCGCATATCGAAAGGTGCCTTTGCGTTCGCCATTTCGCATTCATCTTGCCATTATCTGTCGGAGAGCTTGTATATGTGCGGCATTTCTTACGTAGTGCTCGTAGTGCACATATTGCACATAGAGACATAGTGAATACGTAAATCGCGCATTCCGCGAACGCGACAGAAATCATGTCGCCGAACACTTCCGAAAAGGTGAACCGGTCGAAATAAAGTCGGGTTTCCTCCATTTTTTTTTGCACGCATCGCATCACACGCGTTTCTCTTTTCTCGAACACAAAAATAATTTCGCGGTGTGGGAAAGCTTATTCGCCAAGGCGATAGTTCTCATGCAAATGTTCTCTTCTTAAAATACAGCCTTACAGCAACGTGGGCGTAAAAAAAATTAATAAATTATTTATAGAAAGATTCAATGGTATTTAAAATATATATATATATTTTTTTACTGTTAAATTTTATTTCTTATTAGAATTTTGTTGCGCGTTCTAAATTTATTTATTATTATTTGTATATATTTTTTTATTTAAATAATTATTCTTGACAATTTTAGACCGATTTCTGACCTTTTTATTTGTTTTCATTACTATTCCAGCAATATTTTTCAAACTTTATGTATATTGAAAAAATTATTTTTATTAAAATTGAAAAGAATTTGAAACAAACTTATTTCTTTGAATAGAAATTGATAATAACGTTACGGTTGATATCGATGTTTACAGACATTTAATTTAACGTATATCGCAAATAAATTTGCTCACAATAATTAGCGATAGCTTGCTACGAAGTTGTTCGCACTATTGTCCGCAAATTTTAACTATGTCAACTATTCGATTTGGCTAATTTATGCATCGGGGACTTAATTTCGCAAGCAAATTTATGGTCAAATCATTTAACGTACGGTTCAAAACGATTTGACGATCGTTATTCGCGTTCTACCGAATACCTTGCACATCGTAACTCTCCTCAAATTTGCCGAAGTTATTTTCGGTAAGTACCCAATTAGCGCGACGTGCAATTACCACATTATGCAGCTATGAAAAAGGATGAGTGAAAAGCTTCTCGTAACAAGCAAGGATTATGAGTAATTAATATTCATTCGCGTCGATACGTGCTAATTGAAGGAAATATTTTGTAAACGTCAAATATGGCAATATTGTGTAACATTTTGAAGGATAATTTCAAAATATATCTAGAATATAATGACATTTAATTGAAAAGCTTTTCTATATAATTAACAATATTATATATATATATTATATAATTATAAATTATACAAAATTATAGAAGCGATACTTATGTTCCACTTTGATAAATATATATATGCAGCTTTTTAAAAATTGTTTTTATCATTACTAGATCGTTTCATCATTCAAGATCTTTCGGGAATTGACTCGTAAAGTAAATCAAATTATCGAATAATCGGCAACAAGATAGATTACGGGATTACGAGATTGATACAATTAATTACTGAGATAACAGAGGATTTTATGATTTGCGATATTATTGAATACGAGATGTAACGCGCATTTGATACGCCCTGATATCGATCGATCGATATCTAACGTAGTAAATTGGAGCGAATCGCGGAATGAATCACATCCAATTCCCGCTAAACAAACTGAACTTAAGCCATTCGTTAATTTGTGTTAATGATCGAACAGCGTATCGGAAGACGATTTAATTACATTAAAATTGTTCACTCATCCTTAAGAGAAATGACATTTCGTCGAATCGATCAGGTTCGCTAATAAACAGAAAGAATGCCAAAGCACGTGGATGGGATATCGCGATTGTTCGTCAATGACTGTATTGAGAATTATTTTGCTATTATCGCAACCCGATGTCATTAACGTGGATATTGTGAGATAAACGCGCAATCGAGATAACCGGCGCACCAAGTTCTAATTGGATATTCGTAAACCTCTTATCGCCCTTGGTATCGTTCATTTTTAAACTAAAGATACTTATACACTCATAAATTCAGTTTTCTGCGAACGCGGTAGCAATTAAAATTACAATTACAACGATAATCATAATTTATACAATATATCCTTGTACATTACAATAATATCATACATTAGCGATTATTAATTACAGATAACTGTTCGCGTTAATAGTTAGTAGATTGCAGAGCTAATATTCATACCCGCCGCGATTCATCTCGAAGAGAGAGACAATGCACTTTTTCCTCAGGTACTTCACTTCAGAGAGGGCTTTTCTACCTTCCACGATTCTCGTTCGTTCCTTTCTCAGACATTTCTTCCTCGCATACGCGATAAGACGCTTATTAAGACGCGCTGTTCCCGCCGTGGATTGGCCGAACCGGCGCGTTAAATAAAGTTGCAATTAAGAGAGCTAAAAGCTACGCGGTCGACTGTATATGCCTTCTCAAGGCCTCGGGCCTCGCCAGAGCGTACTTCCGCTTCTGATTAGCTTCCTCTTTTCCCACATCGTCCTCGCCGAGAGCTCTGCTTCCCTCTCCTTTTGCCCTACTCTTCCTTCCTCCGTCCTTTCTCTCTCTCTCTCTCTCTTCCCATCATTCTTTTCCTTCATCATTTTTTTTTCTCTCCGCTTCCTCTTCACATCTCTCCTCATGGTCTCTCTTTATCTCCCGCCTCTGCCTTATCTCCGCACCGTGGGAATTCGCGCGTGCGATTCGCGCCGCGAGAGAGGAAGTTCCTATTCCTGTTTCACT